CTTTTCCGTCTCGTGTTCTCTCAGTCTAAAACACTATACGTCTATCAAATAGCTCAAATGACATATTTCCCTTTTCTACAAATAATTCATATATTTAACTATGGTAAGTGCAAAAAATTTTCTCACAGGAGAGATATCTTTAAAAAAAAAATCTTATTTTTAGAAAGTAAACGTTAATTGGCAATTTATTAACAAAGAATAAAAGATTGTATTTTTTCCAAAAATATTTTGTCTAAAAAGTAATAATTAAAATTTATTATCTTAATAAAATAAACAAAAATGAAAAATTGTAATATTTGGACATACAAAAAATATTTGTACAGTCGAGAAATTTAGTTTTTAAGTTTCACAAACACACGGTTATTTTTGCGAAGCTGTTTTGTTTATATTAAGACATGGTATTATGGATAATCTAAATTTTTAGATACTTCAGCAAAATTATTCTTTCCATGTAGAAATTTAGTGAGTTGCTTACAACTCAACTTGAGGGAAAAAATGCATAATGTACGGTATACAGCGAATGCAAAAAATATTCGTACAGAGAAGGTTTTTAAATAAAGGTCTTATTTAAAAAATAAATATTAACTAGAAGTTTATTAAAAATAATACGTTTTGAGCACGTATTATAGAACTGTTCAGAATTATTCGGAATGGAATCCAAACAGAATTTAGTTATTTCCTACATTGTATTTTCTATGATATAATTTCCGATCGGAATCCTCATTCTGAACAGTTCTATAATACGTTGCAGAACGCGTATTGATTATTAATAAATTATTAATTAATGTTTTTTCTACAAATAAGGCTCTTTTAAAATCAAAATCTTCCTTGTACGAGTGTTTTTTGCACGTTATCTATGTATTATATTATTTTTTTTTTTTTATTAATTTGAGTTGTAGGCAACTTTGTTGAATTTTTGAATCGGAAAAACGGCTTTGCTAAAGTATCTAAATATTTAGCTAGATACAGACCTAAAAATAATTTTGTTAGATTATCAAAGTACTTGTGTAGTGTGTTTAAATTGATTGTTAGAATGTTGAAACTTTTTCTAGCATTATTTATCATGCTTGAGTTTCCTACATAATTATTTTAATGGTCCAACAAAATTATTTTCAGATCTAGCTAAATTTTTAGATATTTCAGCAAAATCATTTTTTCTGTGTATCAAAATAATTCTGTAGGATGCTTAGCTAGTTGTTAAAATGTCAAAATCTCTTACAGTATTGTTCATCGTGCTTGAGTGTCCTAGGGTAGACCGAATAAATTCATCACAGGGCGAATTGGATCAATGTAAATTTTGGGACAGTTAGTCGAGATAGTTAATTTTATTACTTCTTTGTTTCAAAAACATTATTTCGATAGGCCAATAAAATTATTTTCAGATCTGTACTTAGTTTTTTCAGATACTTCAATAAAACGGTTCTTTTCGTGTGATATAATTCTTATTGTTATTATAGTATGAAAGAATATCTCTAAAACAGGTATACTTGAAATTAATGCAAAAGCGGCATCGAGATATCGAAACTCAATGTTTAAATGAAGAACAAAGTTATTTCCGAAGTCGTCCCCGGACATTCACTGTTTCGCAGATTTACAACCTCACCGTCCAATCTATGATATGGCAGTTTCGTCTGCTCGATAGGTATACAGTGCTTTATCCTGGACATGTCTCGTCACTCGCGGGTGATTTACGTGACCCGGTCAAGAATCGAAAGCCGCGAGCGATAGCCAGAATTGCGGATGCGTTATTTTTTCGAGGGAGCCTATTCATCGGCACCTGTCGTGCTGAAACCGGCTTTCACTGTGTCGTGGAAAAAGAAAAAGGGACTCATTCGTATGGCGCGACCATTTAATCGATCTCGCGAACCGCGAACGGAGGTGTTTGGCGAAGATAAATTTCGGCGTTGATCGATTCTCGGCAGTGCGATAACGGCCACCGGCGATAATGCCGTTTCCCTTCCGTGGCCTCGACAAAATCGAGCATCGTGCCGATTTATTTGTGGGTGAATTTTATTCCAGTTGCTGAATCGGGCAAATTAGTGTTGCCGTTTCAGCAAGGGGAAAACTTGATAAGCGCGCAGGCGGCCGTGTATTTTACGTGATTCGCGTATGAATTATAATGCACATAATTAAACGGTTAATTGAAACATACAGATTTAATGGCGGCTGGGAGCAGTGGAAACGCGAACGAAATCAGTGTAAGTGTGTTATCGTAAAATATTCGGCTGGCCATGCACGGCTTTTATCACTTAATTGCCTATTAATGTCAAAATTATTAAAATCGTACGAAAGATGCATGCATTATAATATATATTTTTAATGGTATATTTTTTTAATAAATTACATCGACTTTTTGTTTTAATCATTTATAAATGTAATAAATAATATACAACAAAAACAAAATAATCTTATTTTTTTTAATCTTCTATAAATCACTGCGTATTAAATAATAACGGGGATACGTATTATGTTGCGGACTGCTTCGAAAATATACAATAATATTTAACGTAATCCGCAAACTATATTTTTTTGTCGCAAACAAAAGAATTGTATAATAAACACTGTGAGCAAGTTTTTATTGAAAGAAAATAAATCCCACGTTTTTAGCGAACGTTGTGATAATAAAGCATTGATAGATATTACAAAATATCGAAAAATATTGTAATGGAACGTATGTTGTTTAACATCATTATATGCATAGAGCAACGAAACGGCCGAATGCGTATATAATTAAAAAGTATATTTGGGTGGGAGAGCATTCAAGACACGAATTAATGGCGCGAGGATGTGCGGAACGGTCGGCGGCGCAAAACCGGTGGACAACTATTTTACAATAAAACAGCACGCCACACATGCGGGCGAAATAGTTTATCGCGCGCAGATATACATAAATATTCCATAATGGCATATATTGTTGGCGGTAACTCAAACAGGCAGGCGGGAGTCTTTATTGGCAAATCGTGAATTAATGAGATGTCAGGTATAGGATTTTATATTTATAACTAGAGAATATTACCGCGCGATTACCGATTTATAGTAAACGGATTAGATAGAACAGGATCAAATTCATCAATAGTAACTTCGTAAACTATTTCTAATTAATTTACAAGATTCGTGTAATTTTGTATATATTTAATCCTCCATCGGCCAAGTTACATTTTAAAGGCATAGTCGATATATTGATTGTAAATTTTATTACATAAATTTAAATCTGTAAAAAATAAATAAAATACAATCCGATTGCTATGATAGTAAAAACTTGTTAAAATATTCACAAGTATGCAAGATTTTTTTCAGATATTTGTACCTACAGTTTGAAATAATATAAAAATCTACATTAAAGTTCAAAGATCTAGGCTAGTAGAAGATGCAAAATTCCATATGGCCGATTGAGGAGTAAATAATGTAAATGTAGAAAGAAATCGAAGTTACAAACATGTGCATTTTGTCGAATAAAGTCTAACAGAAATTGACTTATTGCGGGTGCAAAAGTTTTAATGTATTTTATGATAAATATCGATTGATGATGACATTATACGCAATTTATAGTGGATACTAATTCGCAGATTTTAACACAAATAGTTGCTGAAAAGTTGAAAATTGATAGGTCGACCATATTTTTGTCAAGTTTGTCCTAACTCTTATTATAGGAACACTAATAAAACTGCCTCAAATATGACATTTACAACTCACCGGTTCGCGTAACGGAGGCACAGCAGTGTCTCTCGCGCCATTCTTAGAGCCACTACCGTATCTCCAGATCACAAAATCCATCAAAATTCTTTTATATTTTCATCTAAATTAATTCCGCCTTAGTCTACACCAATTAAAAATGACGTAACAGCAATGTTATAATTTTGCACTCAACAATATAACTATTATATAACTTCAATCATGTGTTTACATTTCTATTTTGAGTGCGAAATTGGAACGTTTCTTATAATGAAAAAATGTAAATTTTTTAATGGTATATTACAGTGATGTAATTAATCCTTTGAGGATTAGAGCTTTCTAATAAAGTAACTTATGGAAGATCTTGCTTTCTAAAAGTTTTCAGGGTTGTTGAATTCGATTTTGGTCTCAGAATTCTAAAATTTAAATTTTGAAATGATAATTTTATTATCGATTTTAGAAGGTTTTTGGTATTTCTGAGTTTGAATGTGTAGCTTGAAAATATTGAAAAAATGAATAATTAATGTTGGGCTCTTGAGATATTAAACAAATAATAAATAAAAAAACGGGCAATTAAGAGCCTTAATACACGGTAATTGGTGCGATTATCTTATAAATATATATTTCAATTGTAAATCTTACATAACTATAAAAACTGAATGTTTCGACTCAATTCGAGCCATCCTCCAGCTGTATTAAATAATAACAAATGAAAATATTGAATTTTAAAAGAATAATAACTTCCAGGAAGGAGAATTTAGTGTTATGAAAGATCTTACCCTGAAGACCTTTTAAAGGTTTTCAGGGTTGCTGAATTCTATTTTAGTCTTAGGATTCGAAAATACAAATTAAAAAAATAATAATTTGATTAGTAAAACTCGGTTTTAGGTTTTTGGCGTTTCTGAGTTTGAATGTAGCCTAAAAATATCGAATTTCAAAAGAATAGTAATCTTTATGAAGGAGGATCCAATGTCACAGAATTCATAATCAGAGTTTGAAAGTCAGTTTGAAATCAGTACTAATTGCTTTCGTAGGTTCAAATAAAACGAAACTGGAAATTTAATGTTACTTTTTAATTAAAAACTTCCTAAAATCGAGTTTTATGTTAATCAAACTTTTTTTAAAATTATAGCCGTCATATTGAATCCAACATTTTGAATTTTGTATTTTTCACCTCAGATTCGAATAAAGCATTACCAAATTACCTCATTCGATAAGTTCATTTCATAAAAAAATTGAGCGAGTAGTTTATAAAATGAAAGGAGATGTGATTCCAGGCGCGCGGGGTTGCCGGTCCACAAATAGTTATGAAAGAAATGCATACTTACAAATCACCGTTAGATTGGCTGTTTGATACGTAGTGGCGAAAGACGGCGCCTCGGTGGAAACTTCGCATTTGTATTGACCGGAGCTCTCCAGGGCGAGGTTCTTCAATCTTAACCATCGCTGCTCGCTATTCGCTTTCGTCTGTGGACAGAAAGAATAGCGAGGTATTTGCTTTGCTAATGGAGGAGTTTTGTTTCGGGACGTGATGTTGTCGTGTAACGACGGATTTGGACTCAGACCCCGAAGTTAAGGCTTTACCTACGCAATTGTGTACGTGCACTTTGCGTGCGACCGATATTACAGCCGAGACAATCAACGTTTGATTGTATTAGACGAAGCAATGGAATTTCCGAAGATAACGCGGAATCCAATTTTTCGAATCTCGAGTCTCTGAGACGTACGCATCTTCAAAAGTTCAACGTAGTCGTAAAGTTTGTATACTGTTAAATTTATAATGAAATTATACATATATCTAATTTGAGTTATTTAATTCATTCGAGCCACTAAATAAGATAAAAATTATACAGGACTCCCAAGTTTTAACAAATTTAACCTTTAGATTGCCGGGATTTGAGATATTAAACCGTCCTTTAAAAGTGGCCAAATTTGTGTCTTGTATCATGTATCAACTATATACAAAGTTCATATCATAGGCCGAGTCGATATATCGGTTTCCCGGCAGGATAAGTTAAAGAAAAAATTTTGGATTATAAAATTTTTAAATAAGTATTAATAAGGGTTTTTAGGGACGCTGAATTTGATGGTAATGTCAAATTGTAAAAATTTTCACAATTATTAAATTTTTCCATCAAAAAGTGGTTAAAAATATTTTGATTTTTTAACTCTCCTTTAGAATTACCCAGAGCTAACGACGTGAACGTAGAGAGTATTTATGTAGCTCCTTTTTTCTTTTTTTCCTTTTTTATTTTTTTCAATTTTTTTCTTACATATGTTTCTTACAGAAAAAAACTGATTTTCCTCCAAAGCCGATACATCGGCTTTCCTGCAGTCTTAAGGTTAAACGTACAAGATGGGATATAAAAGTCAGCGCGGTACGCAAAATTGTTATTTAAAAATACTTTTGTTCTTTTATTTAAAAATACTCATTTAGATTCAGAAGCACAACATGTATCCGTACATGTTTCCATGTGCTTTCGAGTCATTCATACAACAAAAAAAAAATATAAATTATGGTTACATAATTACGTATTTCTGCGAGGGTGTGACAACCATGGAGCATGAGTTACGACGTAAAAAGACCAGGTGTAATATTGCGCATAATAGCTGAATAATTTGAGACAAATTTCTGATTAGTGGCAAATTCCTAATAGCGGTTTTGTATTGGCTTCAAAATCTTAACTCCTGCCTAATCAAATTCATGTCCGCAATGCATCCTAATCTGTTATTACCTGGCCGGTGTTATTACCGAATGGATAGAGGTCTCCCTCCCAATATGATTACGGTATTCTGATATTCGTGTTCTTAACTGCCGATCAGTTTGACCTACATAAGATGCATCACAGTCTTTATATGAAATTCTGTAGACGGCATTTCTTTGTGAATTGTTTGATAGTAAATCTTTCTGGATTTTAATCAAACGGCAGAGCTTATTCATGCTATAAAAGGAAATTTTTGGGTGAATATTATTAATAATTCTTTTACATTTATTTCAAATTGTATTTACAAAAGGAATTGTAAACATGAGAAATTTATTAATGACCGATTTATCAATAATTTTGATGGTACTGTTTTTTTTATTAGGGATTTTATTCTTTAAAACATGGTATTGAATTAAAGTCCAATAGATAATCATTATTCAATAAAATTTTAATAATTACTTCAAAAATTGTTTTATGTAAAACTCCGGATTTGAGAGGAAAAAGACCCTATTGTTTATGTTCATAGCCAATCCCCCTTTTTGCAAAAGTGGATGCCGAGACAAATAATTCAGGTATCTCCTCGCAAAAATTGATTTTTGATAACAATCAAATTTTGGATTAAGTTAATAGTTTTTGGAAAATTAATCCTGTTATTTCTCACTTCCATTGTGAATTATAATCTTAGGTGTACAGAGTTAAATAATGAAAAAAAATATGTTGAAGCCACGAGAATCACCCCAATAATATCATCCACACATCGATAATGTAAAACTGCAGGGAGGCCTCTAATATGCCTCTTTTTAAATCCTGCGTAACTATCAGCGATAATAGGCTATAAAGGGGAGACTATTGGAGTCCCAATTTATAAATTTCGTTATCAAAGGTGAAGAAAGATTTAAGAACAAACGGTACTCATAAATTTATCTTTAGAAATATTACAATAGTTCAGAAATAAAATTCATATCTATTAGAATATTAGATACATTTTTTATAGCCAAATTTATTGGGATGTTAGTAGAGAGTGAAATCATATCTAAAGAAATCAAATGAATCAAAGTGCTTATACTTTTCCATTTTTCAAAACCTGCGGACGTATATACAGTTTATATGGCTGCCTGCGATCATTGTTCAAACAGTAATGCATTTTGCAGCTGATTGTTGACAGGGTTAATTAGACTACCGCATGTCTCTATCTGTCACGTAAGCCAGTGCTTGAAGAGTCGTATCCCTGCAATCGGAATGGTGGTCAGCGTGGCGTTGTCTTCGCGGACAATGTGCAACGACCGTTATCCACGTGCAACTTCATTGATAGCCATAGTGGGGTGGAAGGCGTGGGAACGTTTGCGGCTTATCGATAATTCATGGCCCGTTACCGGAGCCCGAGACACGGTCTCGGTTGCTCTCGCATTAGGTTCGATTAGGTACATCCGTAGTCCAATTAGCTTTCCGCGATATCCGACTAGACGGGCGCGACGACGCAGGGAGCCCCCTTTCCTGTCCCGTCATTCAACGTCTAGGAAATCGAGCGTTCGTATCGATCGTCGAATGCTAACTCGATCAATACCGGAAATGTCGCGCACTACGATATGCCAATACTCGCTGCCGATTTGCGATGTCGCGTCGATCATTCGACATCGATCCATCTATTGGATTATAAATATTGAATTCCGCGGTGTGCACTGAAAATCTAATTAATTTTTAATTCTAAAATCTTCATTTAGAACCATTGTGGCGAGCTCGAATTTGATCACGATATAGTAATAACGTTATTTAAATTTGATTAAAATAATTGAAGATTAAATCTAACTAAAATCGAATTCTCCCAATTTCAACCGAATTATAAATCAATTAATTTAATTATAAATATGTTTTTGGATGATAGAAATTAACAATGAATTAAGGGCTCATTATGCTGGCACATTTTTAGATTCTGTGTACATAAGTGCACTGCAGAGAGTCTGATAACAGCTACCAAATATTGAGTGAAATGTTTGATTAATATAATAAAAAAATGTTCGATTACAATAAAAAAAATTCAATTGGAAGCACTAGTGCGCACTGATGCATATTAAAGCCGTTGTACACTGATTTAATTTAAGTATAAAAGTGGAATGCAATATTTTGAATTATAAAATACTTTAAAATATTTTACCTAATAATACAATAAAATATATGAGTATTTCAGTATTTAATCGATTTCTATGTTTATGTATAAACATATCTTTACGTTATTTTGTGTACGACGACTTTAGTGTGCACTGAGTCCAATTAAGTTTGCTATTAATCCCTTTAATATTTAGTAAGTATTACCAAACATAATAATATAACCAACTGTTTGATAAAATAATTTTGCTTTTCTTGATAATTAGTAAATATTATTACTAAACATAATAATATAACCGAATATTTGTAATACTTACTAAATTTATAGGAAAGTAAATTTAGTCATATTAACCGAATATTTGATTTCACTCAACATTTGGTAGCTGTTACCATATTCTTTTTTTAATATGTATACAACCGTTGTCAAAGCTTCTGACTAGTATATAATTTTTCGATCATTGTTATCTATAAAATGAATATTCAATCTATTTTTTAATTTATATTATAATTTAATGAAATTTTTGTTGTACTCAATTTAAGAATTTAGTTTAAGAATACTTTAAATACTAGACCGAGTACTAGACTATATTAAAGTACTTGTATACTAGATTTTTATTTATAAAGATTCTTTATCTGAGCAATACAATAAAATTACTCATTGATCGAAAACGTTTGGCAGCCATTGTATATTCGATATTTTGTATCGCAATTTTAAGTTTCTTCATCAAGTTTCTTGACTCGAAATATTTTTTGCGTGGAGGAAAATGGATTTTATCGGCTGCTTTCAATATCGTCGTTGAGACGATCGCACGGAGCGGTGCCGCACCTGGCTCGCTGCTGCACGTCCGATAAAAGCCCGTCTCTTTCGTAATTTCCGGCTACATTAACGGCATCTCCGGCGCGGCGGTCGATTCGTCGATCTTGTGATATTCTGATAATCCACGTGATCTCAGACGCCGAGGAAAATTGCCGTTGGTAGTGACAGGCAGTCTCCACCCACGATCGACGATCCGGACACGCGGTGATGGCTAATTAAAGTGAATTAGGAATTTCAGCCTGTTCGCTATGTTCAGGAGATAGGAAACTCTTTGATCAATTTAATATCTACATGCATATATTTTTTCCGCATTTAAATATGAAAATTTCTATATTCGATCGCAATTTATGCAATGAAGCAATTTATTGCTCCATTACATAAATCATTAGTTTTTAATAGATTTTATAATTTGGAGGTAGAAAATAGTCACTATGAGCTCGTATAATTACCATCTTTTACAGACGGTTTTTAAAAAGTGTGTTTACACGAACAAGCATAAGTCGTTGTCTAAATTCCACTCGGCGAACTTCCTGCTTCACGTTTACGAGAGACGCCTAACGCGCGCAAAAGTTTCGAAGTTGCATAATGCGCGTCCCGATGACACGACAGGATAGATTACGCTCGTAAACCGTTGTGGAAGGAACGCATTACGGCCGTGGGAATCGGGAGGAAGGAACATTTCCACAGGATGACGTTGATATTTATCGGTTCTTTTAATTCCAAGTTGTTAAACTGTTGCGTATGAACGCATTCAACGAAGATTGTCGATCATAAACTAGTGGTGCTTTATTTAATGATGAGAAATACTCAAAGTTCCTGGATCGTTTGCGAAAGTAGCTCTC